TAGATATTTATATAATGTTTTTCATATTTTCCTTTATATAAATATCTACATTCTATTAGACATTCAAATGGTAAGCTTGATTTTGAACTTTAGAGTATATCAAATTCACAAAATAAAGAGTAATATGAAATTATAATTTTTTATTAAGATAAAATCATATTTTTTAACGATTATATTAATAGATATCAACGAAAAGTGGTTATGTTTACACATGTACAAACGTCATGAGATGTAGGGGTAATATTCTAAATGTGAAGGGGTTCAAATGATTAAGTGACAAACACGAGGGGATCTAGGTATAATTTATCAATTTAATTTTAGGTGCACATTGATACAGATTTATATATTTGAGGGTGTAAATTGAGATTTTTGATCTTTGAGGGTGTACATTGATATAAATTTCTATCTTTGAGAGTATAAATTGAGATTTTTTATCTTTAGAGGTATAAATTAAAATTCGAACGATTTTTCAGGGTACAAAATGAGATTAACCCTTCAAACAAAACGGAAGAAGAGTTCCTCGTCTGAGTTTTTAAGCCCTTAGCCCAATTTCTATGTTTGCATAGCCCTTCTAAGCCCATTTAAATCTGACCTCAGTTGGAATTATTTTGCCCAAAACCCAATCAGGTTTATAGGCCCAAGGCCATTTAAATCTGACCTCAATCAAATTTTTTTAGCCCAAGGCCCTGTCAAGGGGACGGAAAAGAAGACAGGGAGGAGACCGGACAGGACAATCAAGCTTTCATTGACCAACGATGACAGTCAAATGGAGCTTGATTATCGAGAGTTATGAAAAGTCTATCGGACCTAAACCGGCTCTTTTCTTGACTAAAGGGTAGTTGCAGTTTATACGATTCATTAATTCTCCCCAAGAAAAAATATTCGGTACTTATCAGGTATCAGATTATTAATGACAACTGTTACTCATCATCAATCGATGGATGTCACCTCAAAATAGATAGTGAAGAGAGAAAAATTGAAGGACAACTTATATTGAGGTGATATCTCTTGATTGGTAATAAGTACCAGCTGTGAATAACAGTCTGATATCTATTAATGACAGAATATGAAGTGACATTCATTGATTGGTGATGAATACCAATTGTCATTGACAGTGTGATACCTGATAAACACCGAATTTTTTCTCGTGCCGCAGANAAATAGTACATTCAAAAATAAGAGCCATCAGGGTTTATCACAAATCTGCTCAGAACAAATATTGACCATTCCAATAGACAGGATATCACAGAGTATCCTTACTCTAGGTGATCCTTTAAAAATCTATCTGCAATTGGCAATCCATTATAATTAAGTAACAACTGATAATTTGTAAGCACCTCAGATTGAAAATTTTTACGTAATCATATTCTTGCAAACCTGCATAGTTAATGTGGAACATCTCTGATGCATACAAAATTACACGACGACGAATATAAAATGATAAGCAGTATCTTATCCAAATGGCAACAATGTATAACTTTAAAATGGCCATGCATATTAAGTTATCTAATTTATCACTGGATGTCCAATAATGTAAATAAAAATGCAAAATGCCCTCAAAGTGGTATGCAAAAATGCTTCTTACCAACTTTCCATCGATCAAAGCCTTTGCACTTTCAAGCTCTTTGGCATGACTTGAAATTCCAAAACGAAGAATATCAGCCAATTTTCTGACATTGGATACATTCTCATGGATTATGGGCAATCTGGAGAGAGACAGTTTGATCAATGAGACACAAGACCATATATCTTGCTGAAAAATGAAAGCTACACAAAGAAATAGCTGTACGTATAGTGAACTTCTATTATACATGTGGCCACAACTTGTCAAGCATTTTTTTTTTTGCCTAACAGCCAAGTTGCCAAGTTCTACAATGCAAGTAAAAAAAAAAATGTGCTCATTAACAACCAGCTGCTTTGAAGTTTGAACATTACACAAGGTTTTATTTAATAATCAATAATACTATGGGAGGGAAGCTGTCATCCAGCTTCAAAATCTGATACGTGTAATTTGAAGATAAATTCAGGAAACAAAAGCATTTCAGCTTCTACTTTGTAAAACTGTTGCTGATTATCTGCACCATAAACTATGGAGAAAGTCCTTATCTACTAAATTCTTATCATTCAGATACTTGGCAATTTCAGTTTCTCTTCTTCGCACAAGTTGGATATAACTCTTTATGAGGAACAATATCATAATTATACTCCAGAGCCTTGCAACACCAAAGCACTTCTGCTTGTAAAGTTGAAGATATGAGAGAGAATCAAGCACACAAAAAAACATTACCTTAGATCAAACTTGTATGTGCATCGAAATGTTTGAAGGGAAGTTAAAACTCTTCCCATTTTAAAATCACAAGGACGTAGGCTACTTGATGTAATATTTGAAGCCAGCGTGCAATTTCGACATGTCCATCTACACAAAAACAACTTTTAGCCACTGCCAATAAAAAGGAATGAATTAAATTGTTTGACAGGGATAATGAACTTGGATGAAGTTACCTTCTTGGGCTATAACTAATGTGAATAAGAAGTCCCTCATCCCAATCGTTCTTCACCACAGATGCCACTTCTGCAACACCCTTTACAGTCTGCAAGTGCCAACCCAGGAATAACAAATCTGATCAGTAGTTAGAAACCTATAGAAGTTCTACCCAAGTCAAAAGAGACCATAACTGCAAGTTCCCATAAACTACTAATTACCGCAGAAGTATTACAATAAAAACAAAAAATAACGGACATTGTGCAATAGAAACAATATCTATTATCGGCTGCATGCACACGGCTTCCCATTTGTTAGGACGATAAATTGACGACTATTACACAAGCTACATGATGTTGAGACAAGTCAGAACTGGACTGCCACAATCAGACAATAAGACAGATTCGATTCTTCTATTTTCAATAGAAGCAAAGAACCTTTAAATAACAATCAAATAAGAAAGTGGAATGAGACTATCATATCACCTGGCAAAGCGTTATGGTAGAATTCTTGAAAGAGCTCTCACTGGCCCATATATAGATGCCAACCACTTGCATGCCACCCAATAGCATTCTCGAGACCTGTCACNTAGATATTTATATAATGTTTTTCATATTTTCCTTTATATAAATATCTACATTCTATTAGACATTCAAATGGTAAGCTTGATTTTGAACTTTAGAGTATATCAAATTCACAAAATAAAGAGTAATATGAAATTATAATTTTTTATTAAGATAAAATCATATTTTTTAACGATTATATTAATAGATATCAACGAAAAGTGGTTATGTTTACACATGTACAAACGTCATGAGATGTAGGGGTAATATTCTAAATGTGAAGGGGTTCAAATGATTAAGTGACAAACACGAGGGGATCTAGGTATAATTTATCAATTTAATTTTAGGTGCACATTGATACAGATTTATATATTTGAGGGTGTAAATTGAGATTTTTGATCTTTGAGGGTGTACATTGATATAAATTTCTATCTTTGAGAGTATAAATTGAGATTTTTTATCTTTAGAGGTATAAATTAAAATTCGAACGATTTTTCAGGGTACAAAATGAGATTAACCCTTCAAACAAAACGGAAGAAGAGTTCCTCGTCTGAGTTTTTAAGCCCTTAGCCCAATTTCTATGTTTGCATAGCCCTTCTAAGCCCATTTAAATCTGACCTCAGTTGGAATTATTTTGCCCAAAACCCAATCAGGTTTATAGGCCCAAGGCCATTTAAATCTGACCTCAATCAAATTTTTTTAGCCCAAGGCCCTGTCAAGGGGACGGAAAAGAAGACAGGGAGGAGACCGGACAGGACAATCAAGCTTTCATTGACCAACGATGACAGTCAAATGGAGCTTGATTATCGAGAGTTATGAAAAGTCTATCGGACCTAAACCGGCTCTTTTCTTGACTAAAGGGTAGTTGCAGTTTATACGATTCATTAATTCTCCCCAAGAAAAAATATTCGGTACTTATCAGGTATCAGATTATTAATGACAACTGTTACTCATCATCAATCGATGGATGTCACCTCAAAATAGATAGTGAAGAGAGAAAAATTGAAGGACAACTTATATTGAGGTGATATCTCTTGATTGGTAATAAGTACCAGCTGTGAATAACAGTCTGATATCTATTAATGACAGAATATGAAGTGACATTCATTGATTGGTGATGAATACCAATTGTCATTGACAGTGTGATACCTGATAAACACCGAATTTTTTCTCGTGCCGCAGACGCCTCTGCCTGCCACTTTCGGGTTTCCAGTATTCTGATTGGTCAGGTGTTTTTGGGGCAAAAATGATTGCTCTTGGTTGGGTGATCAAAATTTGGTAAACACCCCCAAGATTAGCAAAAAACTAAAAGTTGGCGCAAACTGTGTGAATAATGCATTCATTTTCTGTTAAAAAAAATAATTATTTTTTTACCATTTAATATTCTCTTGTTAGCTGGACGAAAATCGTAACATGTGAATTTATAAATTTTGTTTTTATATAATTTAATTATTTTTTTGTCAATAAATGTGAATTTAAACTAAAATTCACCGAAAAAATTATTTTTTTGATCAGTCTATTTTCTATTACAATCAAATTAGTGCTATTCTATACAGTATGTTTTACCTTCAAGTTATTTGTGCAATACCATTCTTTTTCTTTGGAAAAAATACATTAAAAATATAATTTTAAATTAATCTATATAGTTTTATTTATTGATATTAAAATTAATTTCACTCTCTAGTCAATTACAATTAACTTACATAAATTTAAAATGAAAAAATATGAGACAAAAAAGGTTCGTTGTCGCACTGTTATATACAAATTTGTCAGATTTTTTGTATAATTTTTGGAAGTCAATTACATTTTCGGAGTTTTTACGATTAATTTGATCCTAATAATTTTATAATAAGATAAGTTACAAACTCGTAACAAGTTATACTTGGTCCCCCAAAAAGTTAGTTATAAGAGAACTCCAAAAATTATAATTTCTTTAGGATTGATCCTAATTTTTTTATTTATAGGTAAGCCTCAAAAACTTATATGACGAACTACAAAAATTATAAACTTCGCCCTAGTCAAATGACACAAAAAGTATGTTAAATAGTGAAGTTTTGTTTGAGGCTTCTAGCAAGGAAAGAAATGCCTACTTCCATTGTATTATTGCATACAAATGTGTAACAAATGACGACAATCCATTATTGAGGAAATATAAAAGTAACACAAATCAGAAATAAGAATGAGCTCTCTTGAAGAAAATTTTAGATTCAAGTGATAAATGATTCGTGTGACTAAATACTTAGTCAACCAATCTCATGATGAAAATCTCAAATGTTATTCAAAAATTTCATCCAGACTTAATAGATAATTTATGCAATGATCAACTTAATCAACCATCCTTGTAAAAAAAAAAATTTGACGTGGCAAAAAAACATAGTAACCACCCTCTTGCCAATTTTTTTTTCTTATACAAGAGGTCTAAATTTGTGTCGACTACACAATAAAGCTCGAATAATAGTCAAATTTGAAACCTTATGAGCCATAAGTATGCCATCGAATGCGTTTGACGCATGTATCAATAGAAACACTTCACCAATAAAAATATTTTCAGCACAATATATACACAATGTCACATCAAATGAAAATCCGAATGATCAATCGAATTACAACGATGATGACAATAAAATGAATATTTGTAAAGAGATTTAAAAACAAATGTATACTGTAAAATAAATCACTTAAAATAATTTTTTGTCCAAACAAAGACTATGACCATCATTCTCAATTAATTTCAACTTCGCATATGTTGCTGTTTTTTTTTCAATCCTCGAACCGCGTTGAAAGGTCTATGTCACCTTCTTAAGTTGGCTTCCCCTCTGTGTCAAATAAAACATCTAACTTCTTTATATTCTTTGTGAGATTATGTTTTACTTGTTGAGATTAAACAATTGTTCTTTTTTTCTTGGTGAATCCAAAAATAAAAACTGACAAGGTTGAATTTCGTTCGATTGAACTTTTGTAGTTGAATAAATTAGTTTTGTTAGGACACATCATTTCAACCATATTCATGACAACGATTGCATTTGAATGATAGTTGTTTACGCTTGAACTGGAGTTTTGGACTTGACAAGGTTTATTAGTTCTACTATTGACTTCAATAATAATGAACAGTAAAATATAGAGTAATTGTACATGAAATTAAAAAATAAACTTATAGTTACAACTAATGATTTTACTATGATTCCACTATTTATTGAGATTCTCTACTTATTCAATAATTGTGATTATTAAATCTATTTTTTAAATACATATAACATTAATTGTAAAACATATTATCTCTCTTAAATTCCATAACAATGAACCCTCAACAATACCTGATTTATAACAATAGACTTCTCTCTCTCTCTCGCCAACCACTTTCCTTGTCAAAGTATTTTTCTTCTCTTTTCTCTCACCTAGTCCCGATTCTCAAAGGAGAACATTCAATCTTGTTTAATGTTCACCTGAAGTCCAAAAGAAACTGAATATATATATTTATATATATTTTTTTTTTGAAAATTAATATATATTCATATTCAATGCTCTTACTGACCAAAAAATAAAATAAAATTCAATGCTCCATTTTTTGGCACATTTTTTGACCAAAAAAAATAAATTTNTCTTCCAATGTCAGTCGGAGTCGGTACAGTTTCGAATTCGATTAATCGTTCTAACAAAACGGAAGAAGAGTTCCTCGTCTGAGTTTTTAAGCCCTTAGCCCAATTCCTATGTTTGCATAGCCCTTCTAAGCCCATTTAAATCTGACCTCAGTTGGAATTATTTTGCCCAAGACCCAATCAGGTTTATAGGCCCAAGAACATTTAAATCTGACCTCAATCAAATTTTTTTAGCCCAAGGCCCTGTCAAGGGGACGGAAAAGAAGACAGGGAGGAGACCGGACAGGACAATCAAGCTTTCATTGACCAACGATGACAGTCAAATGGAGCTTGATTATCGAGAGTTATGAAAAGTCTATCGGACCTAAACTGGCTCTTTTCTTGACTAAAGGGTAGTTGCAGTTTATACGATTCATTAATTCTCTCCAGGAAAAAATATTCGGTGTTTATCAGATATCAGATTATTAATAACAACTGCTACTCATTATCAATCGATGGATGTCACCTCAAAATAGATAGTGAAGAGAGAAAAATTGAAGGACAACCTATACTGAGGTGATATCTCTTGATTGGTAATAAGTATCAGCTGTGAATGACAGTCTGATACCTGTTAATGACAGAATATGAAGTGACATCCATTGATTGGTGATGAATATCAATTGTCATTGACAATGTGATACCTGATAAACACCGAATATTTTCTCTTGCCGCAGCNTTCAAATATACTTGCATCACTTCCTGTAAAAATCAAGTCATCTACATATAAGCTTACAATCAACATCTTACCCTCTCCTTGAGATTTAATGAATAGTGTGTGCTCAGTTTGACAGCGCTCAAAACCTTCCTTGATGAAGTATACCTCAATTCTGCTATACCAAGCTCGAGGAGCTTGCTTTAACTCGTACAGTGTNAAACTAAAAGTTGGCGCAAACTGTGTGAATAATGCATTCATTTTCTGTTAAAAAAAAATAATTATTTTTTTACCATTTAATATTCTCTTGTTAGCTGGACGAAAATCGCAACATGTGAATTTATAAATTTTGTTTTTATATAATTTAATTATTTTTTTGTCAATAAATGTGAATTTAAAGTAAAATTCACCGAAAAAATTATTTTTTTGATCAGTCTATTTTCTATTACAATCAAATTAGTGCTATTCTATACAGTATGTTTTACCTTCAAGTTATTTGTGCAATACCATTCTTTTTCTTTGGAAAAAATACATTAAAAATATAATTTTAAATTAATCTATATATTTTATTTATTGATATTAAAATTAATTTCACTCTCTAGTCAATTACAATTAACTTACATAAATTTAAAATGAAAAAATATGAGACAAAAAAGGTTCGTTGTCGCACTGTTATATACAAATTTGTCAGATTTTTTGTATAATTTTTGGAAGTCAATTAC